AAATTCGGTGAACCTCTCTCTGCGAGGGTTCTCCAGCCTGTAGTACAAAATCGGGGATCTTGAGTTGGCATCTATTCCAATTATGACGGGTAAGTTAAAAGATTTGATTATTTTCGAAAATTCTGAGAGTTGTTTTTCAATGTTACTGGAGGGAGCTAGATAGGTGGAATTTAGTAAGAATTTTAGGTCTTTATATTGAGCTATTACTGTAGTAGAAAAGTGGTTAGACAGGTGTGGAGCTAGGCAGAGGGAGATTTCCTGATTGAAATTTACAATTGTTGTCTGGGTCCCTGAGTGGAGACACCCAAAACAACCTGGAAACCCGCAAACCTTGTCCGTGGCATAAGGTTCTTGTAGCAAGGCGATATCAATACCAAGGTCGATAACATGTTTCGGTAAATGGTCTGTCGCTGAGGACGATCTGTTTAGATTAATTTGTATAATTTTTATAGCCATTTTACCAGTATAGTATAATTTAATTTAATCTACTTAGGTTTAACTTACATACTACTCTACTGGTGAGTATTAGCCCGGCTAATCTCGCAGTGGTACAGGTAAACAGGGCACTTACGATCCCTGGCAGTGTGGTTTATATTAATGTGCTCACTATCATTCTTCCTGGAAGAGTTATATTTAATGCAGTTTATGCATTTCAATTCCAACTTCTCTGCCTTGCAATCCATGAAGGCATGTGGTCTGCTGCACAAGGGACATACTTGTTTAGATTGACACTGCGGTTTTAGGTGATTGTAACCAAAACAATTGTTACACCTTTTGTAATAAAAAAGTCGTGCACTTTACTCAATGACCAATCCATGAATATAACGTCGCCCGCCTGGCGAAACGCTCTCCTTAGCTCTGGAGAGAAGGTCAGCACCCACGACTGCTTTCCGTTTTTCTCCTTGCCGATGAAAAACACGTTCCGTACGTACTTACGGACGTCTCTTAGTGTGTCAGAATGTTGAGTTTCCACGAAATTCATTATTGTAGTCCACTCGATGTGGGTTCCTGTTCGTGGTGAGGGGACCTCCCAGAGATGGTTTAGAAACTCTTCTTTACCATCCTTGGGATCTGAACGCCCATCCACGTGTTTGCCATGCGTGGTGCCCCGTATGCCGGAAAGGGGGATCCTGGTAGTTGAGGGGCAACATAACGTCCCCAACACACTGCTTTGGCCCCTGCTTTGGATAAACGGGAGGCTCAAATCAGGCTCCGTTCGAGTCAATTGGCTGGTCGTTGAGTCATTCTTGACGTCGGCTTGGAGTCAACTGATCGATGCAGATCGGGTGGACACGTCAATATAGATGTGCTCTTCTTGACTGCATTGTGAGGGTATAGCTCCTGGGAAACCCTGGTGTGACGGTCTATGGAAGTACTCCATGTGATGGCATCCCCTTGTTGGGCTCCATGGTGGGTGGGGTCACTAGGAGCTGAATATTTTTTCTTTAATTCTGATTCAAAAAAATTCAAAACGTTCTTGTACATCAACAACAAAAACAAACGAAAAAATCTCCACTAATCCAGCGTACTTAGTAGTGCACGCGACCGGAAACCCTTGGCTGAAGCTTCTCCTTTCTTGATTCAATAATTGTTTGAATCGACCATTGGACAGTTGAAAAAAATACAAAAATTAAGATCAGGAGATTTACTGGTGGAAACAGCTTCCTCACAACAATCGGCAAAACTTCTGGAAACAAAGACCCTAGGAGAAATGGAAGTCACTGTCACCCCACATGTGAGACTAAACTCATCACGTGGGGTAATATCTGAGATCGATCAGATATTCAGATTGGCCTTTCAGATCAAGGAGTCACTGCTGTTCGACGCATTTCCATTCGTCAAGATGGCAAGTTGATTCCCACTAAACATCTTATTTTTACATTTAATAAACTGACTTTGCCATTTGTTATTACAGCAGGATATCTGTGCTGCCCAGTTTGCCCATATGTTCCAACCCGCTGTGTTGCTTCAAATGCCAACAATTTGGACATTCACAAACATCGTGCCGAGGGAAAAGCATATGCGCACAGTGTGGAACTGAAGGTCACGAGAGTACTGAGTGTACCAATACTCCATGCTGTGTGAATTGCAAAGATGCCCATTCTGCCTACTCTCGAAAATGCTTAGCATGGCATAGAGAGAAAGGGATCCAGCGAGTAAAAACCATTAACAACATACCATACCCGGAGGCTCGGCGAATGGTCACTTAAAGCACAGCAGTGAAAAAACAGAAAACATTTGATTCTGTGTTGAAATCCACAAAGACATGTGGGGTTCAAACTGATATCTCTGTCTCCCCAAGCGAATCTCTTACTCGCCATGCAAAATGTTTAATACTCCCGTCTACGCAAACAACAGAAAAGGAGATAACAAAAGGAAAAACATCCCTGCTTAAAACAAGGATAATTACAAGAAACCTGGGTTCTAAAAAGGCTAGTAAGAACCCACTAAACAAACAGAGTGAAAGTAAATCTCTCTAAACCTAAAAAGTCAGAGGCTCAGTCAATGAGTGAGTTCTCTGATATCTCTGATGAAGACAATAATATGTAGGTAGCCCAACCAACGTTGCCTCTAAAAGGAAAATCATCAGTTAAACTAAAGAGGGACACTTTTTCTAACAATGCTGCCTCAAACACATAATGGATTATAAAATAATCCAATGGAACTGTCATGGTTTCCACAACAACTTCTCTAACATTAAACACTTGACATCATCTACCTCATCTCTCTGCGTGGCACTCCAGGAGACTCATCTGAAACCTGGAGAGGGAATTACTTTAAAACGATTTGATCTCTACCGCAAGGATGATGATAGCCACAACCGTGCAAGTGGTGGTGTGGCTATTTTGGTTTCCAATCACATCCCATCCTTGCCGGTACAAATAACAACAGAGCTGCAAGCAGTGGCAGTCAGAATTTCTATTCGAGTAACTGTCACAGTTTGTTCTATATACTTGCCATCAGATGTCAGAGTCAACGAAGATGAATTGAATGCATTAGTTAAACAGTTGCCTACTCCATTTCTTTTACTAGGTGATTACAATGGTCACAATCCAATGTGGGGCAGTCCTGACATTAACCGTCAAGGCAGGACCATTGAAAGATTTATAGGCAATCAGCAGCTATATTTATTTAATACAGAGGAAGTGACATACTTCCATGCCCCAACAAGAATATTGACTGCCATTGATCAATCACTAGCAATTCCGAATCTATTCAGCGTTTACATGGAAGGTTGGATCTAATCCACTTTCTAGTGACCACTTCCCAATATTTATAAAATATCAAGGCAGAGAAAGCTGTGAAACAACCCGTCCACCATGCTGGAAACTTGAAACGGCAGATTCGCCTGCATTCTCCTCTTTGGCTGACATCACTGAAAAAATGGTCAATACTGCTGATATCGATGATGCAGTTGAAGTTGTCACTTCTACTATTATTCAGGCAGCGGAAAAAACAGTGGGGAAAACATCAACTAGATATCCAGAGCATCCGAAACCATGGTGGAATAAGAATTGCGAGGCAGCATTTAAAGCACAAATGAATGCATGGGGAATTTAAAGCACAAAAGAATGCATGAGGAATTTAAAGCACAAAAAAAAGAATGGGGAAAGAAAGCACTGCTAGAAATTCGATAGCTTTTCAAAAAGCGAAGGCAAATGCCTGAAGAATAAGAAGGCAAAGCCAAAGAGATTCTTGGAGGAAGTATGTTTCTAGCATAACATCTTCCACTAGCTCAAAAGCAGTGTGGGATAAAATCCATAAAATCAATGGGAAATATGCTTCTCACTCCCTGTCCATGCTAGAAAATAATGGCACAATAGTCAGTGATATACAGAGTATTGCTGATACGTTGGGTGAAATGTTTTCCTTTTAATCCAGCAATATAGTGTATACTAGGAATTTTCAAGCTTATAAAATTCAAAGTGAAAAACAATATTTAAACTTTTACTCTTAATGTAATGAGGAATATAATGTGCCTGTTAGCAGTGTAGAACTACATACAGTGATCTCTTGCTCAGGGAATAGTGCTGTAGGCTCGGTTAAAATCCACTACAGCATGATTAAAAATCTGTCAAACAATTCTCTTTCTAATCTCCTGAATCTGTTTAACAGAATATAGACAGAATATACTTTTTATGACTTGGAGGCTATCTATCATTATTCCCATTCCCAAGCCAGGTAAAGATCACAAGAATCCCTCTAATTACAGAACAATCTCTCTGACAAGTTGTCTCTGTAAACTTTTCGAGAGAATGGTAAACAGACGTCTAATGTATCTCTTAGAGAAAAAGGAATACTTTTTACCACATCAGAGTGGATTTCGTAGGAACAGAAGTACCACAGACAATTTAGTAAAACTAGAAACATCTATACGCGAAGTGTTTGTTAGACAACAGCACTTAGTGTCTGTATTCTTTGATATAGAGAAGGCTAACGATCGATGCTAGAGATATGGGATACTTCGTGATTTGCATTTATTCGGATTACGAGGTAATATGCCGATTTTTATAAAAAACTTCCTACAGAATCGAAGATTCCAAGTTAAGATGGGCAACACACAATCTAGGCCTTTTATCCAAGAAGAATGCATACCTGAAGGTTGTATTTTTTGTGTGACTCTGTTCCTAATCAAAATTAACAGCATAGCTAACTGTCTTCCTTCTAGTGTGAAACACTCTTTGTATGTGGATGACTTTCAGATCTGCAAGTCTAGCAACATGAGTTTCATTGAGAGACAACTGCAAACCTCCCTAAATCGCATAGACAATTGGTCCAAGAACAATGGTTGTAGTTTCAACATACAGAAGACCTTGTGCATGCACTTCTGTTGAAGGCGTGATTTGCACTTTTACCCTGAAATTCACCTAAATAGGGTTAAAATCCCAATGGTCAACGAGACGAAGTTTTTGGGAATTATATTTGACCCTAAAGTGACGTTTTTACCGCATTTGCGCAATTTTAAGAGTAGATGTCTAAAATCTCTGAATTTTTTAAAGGTACTATGCTGCACATCCTTGGGAGCAGACAAAAGTTCTATGCTCAGGCTTTACAGGGCCCTTGTCCGCTCAAAGCTGGACTACGGTTGTATTGTTTATGGCTCTGCACGAGAATCTACTCTTCAAATGCTGGATCCAATTCACCATAAAACATTATGTGTGTGCACTGGTGCTTTTCGAACTTCTCCTGTCCAAAGTTTGTATGTGGATGCTTATGAGCATCCACTATCCCTTAGGAGAGAACAGTTGTCTCTCTTTTATTATATCAAACAAAAATCTTTTACTAAATTTTCAGTTGATTGTACAGTATTAGATACTCAGTTGAAACGATTATTTGAAGCTTGCCCAATTAGTGTCCCTACATTCAACATAAGAATGGAGAATGTGAGCAGCACGATTGATCTGACCACAGGCAACATTTCACAGCTTGTAGTATATCACAGTCTGTAGTATATCAACTTGGTCAACTCCTGCGATAAATGTTGACCTTAGCTTCAATTTTTAAAGGAATTTACCCCGGACTACTCACAGTACTTTGCAGAAATTCAACATTGTGACAAGAATTTAATTCCTATTTATACTGACGGTTCTAAATTGGATGATTATGTTGGCTCAGCCTTCGTTTGCCAAGATGAAATCGTAGCAGAACAAATTGAATCAAATTCTTCTATATTTACTGCAGAGCTGCAGGCTATTCATATAGCCTTAAAGTATGTAATCATGAAAGGTCATCAGCACTGTCATTCACACTGACTCAGTTAGCGTACTTCAGGCTTTGATCTCGTGTGAAGCTAGTTCTCACTTTGTAGTGATTAAAATCCATAAACCCCTCGATATGGGTTCCTGTCCGTGGTGAGGGGAACCTCCCAGAGATGGTTTAGTAAGTCTTCTTTACCATCCCTGGGATCTGAACGCCCACCCACGTGTTTGCCGTGCGTGGTATCCCGTATGCCGGAAAGGGGGATCCTGGTAGTTGAGGGGCAACATAACGTCCCCAACACACTGCTTTGGCCCCTGCTTCGGATAAACGGGAGGCTCAAATCAGGCTCTGTTTGAGTCAATCGGCTGGTCGTTGAGTCATTCTTGACCTCGGCTTGGAGTCAACTGATCGATGCAGACCGGGCGGACATGTCAGACAAGATGTGCTCTTCTTGACTGCATTGTGAGGGTATAGCTCCTGGGAAACCCTGGTGTGACGGTCTATGGGAGTCTCCCATGTGACGGCATCCCCTTGTTGGGCCCCATGGTGGGTGGGGTCACTAGGAGCTGAATTTTAAAATCTAAATATGGATTTATTAAAACCTAAAACATGTACTGATGCATTACCACCAGCCTACCTTATCGTTCATGCCATGGGAGAAACACCCCTATCTAAACGCTCCCCTTTTTTGATTCAAAAATTGTTTGAATCGACCGTTGGGAATCTGAAAAAAATTCAAAAATTGAGGTCAGGAGATCTACTTGTAGAAGCAGCCTCCCCTCAACAGTCAGCAAAGCTTCTGAAAATGAAGTCTCTAGGAGACATAATTGTAACTATCACACCACACACAAATTTGAACTCATCACGTGGTGTGATATCTTAAATCGATCTGATGTCTGAGGATGAATCGGATATTCAGATTGGTCTTTCAGACCAAGGTGTCACTGCTGTTCGACGAATTTCAATCCGTCGAGATGGCAAGTTGATACCAACGAAACACCTTATTTTGACTTTTAACAAACCAACATTGCCATCTTCTGTTGCGGCAGGATATCTCCGTTGCCCAGTTCGCCCATACATCCCAAACCCGCTACGTTGCTTTAAATGTCAGCGGTTTGGACACTCCCAAACATCATGCAGAGGAAAAAAAGCATGTGCACAGTGTGGAAATGAAGACCATGAGAGTAATGAATGCACAAGTTCTCCATGCTGTGTGAACTGCAAAGATGCTCATCCTGCCTATTCTCGGAAATGCCCTTCATGGCAGAGAGAGAAAGAAATTCAGGGATTGAAGACGATTAATAATATATCCTACTCGGAGGCACGTCGTATGATTACCTTAAATACACCAGTGAAACAAAAGACATTCGCTGCTGCTCTGAAATCCACAAAGACATGTGGAGTTCAAACAGACATTTCTGTTTCACTTGATGAATCTCTGACTCGCCATGAAAAATGTCTGCTGATACTATCTACCAAAGCAACAGAAAAAGAGAATAACAAAGCAAAACCACTCATACCTAAAACAGGGGTAACAACTAGGAAAGTGGGTTCCAAAAAAGCCAGTAAGAACCCACTTAATAAACAAAGAATAAAAGCAGCCCTGTCTAAAACTAAAAAATCAGAGACTCAGTCTATGAGCGAGTTCTCTGACTTCTCTGATGAAGAGAATAATAAGGGGGTGACACCACCAACATCACCTCCAAAAGAAAAACCCCCTGTGAAATTAAAGAGGGACAACCTTGCTAAAAATGCTGCCTCAAACACATAATGGATCATAAAATAATCCAATGGAACTGTCGTGGTTTCCGCAACAACTTCTCTGACATTAAACACTTGATGTCATCTACCTCTTCTCTCTGTGTGGCACTCCAGGAAACCCATCTAAAACTGGAGAGAGAATTACTTTAAAAGGATTCGATCTCTACCGAAAGGAGGATGATAGCCACAACCGTGCCAGTGGAGGTGTGGCTGTACTGGTCTCAAGCCGCATCCCATCTTTACCGGTACAAATAACCACTGATTTGCAAGCTGTGGCAGTCAGAATTTCTATTGGAGTAACTGTCACAGTTTGTTCTATTTACATGCCACCAGATGTCAGAGTCAATGAGGATGAATTAGATGTCTTGGTTGAACAGCTGCCAACATCATTCCTTATACTTGGTGATTTTAATGGCCACAATCCTATGTAGGGTAGTCCCGACATTAATCGTCGTGGCAGAGTCATTGAGAGATTTATAGGCAATCAGCAGCTATATTTATTTAACACGGAAGAAGTGACATACTTTCATGCCCCAACGAGAACGTTCACTGCCATTGATCTATCCTTAGCAAGCCCAAACCTGTTTTCAGCATTTACATGGGAGGTTGGATGTAACCTACTCTCTAGTGACAACTTTCCAATATTTCTAAAATACCAAGAAAGAGAAAGCTATGAAACAGCCCGTCCAGCACGCTGGAAACTGGAAACAGCAGATTGGCTTCCATTTTCCTTTTTGGCTAACATCACTGAGGAAATGGTCAATACTGCTAATATCAATGATGCAGTTGAAGTTGTCACTTCTAGTATTATTCAGGCAGCTGAGAAAACAATGGGAAAGACATCAACAAGATACCCAAAGCATCCGAAACCATGGTGGAACCAGAATTGCGAGGCAGCATTTAAAGCACAAAAGAAAGCATGGGGGATTTTTAAAACATACCCCACTGCTGAAAATTTGATTGCTTTTAAAAAAGCAAAGGCAAATGCCAGAAGAATAAGGAGGCAAAGCCAATGGGATTCTTGGAGGAAGTATGTTTCTAGCATAACATCTTCCACTAGCTCAAAAGCAGCCTGGGATAAAATTCATAAAATCAATGGGAAATATGCTTCTCACTCTCTGTCCTTGCTGGAGAATAATGGCACAATAATCAGCGATATACAGGGTATTGCTGATACGTTGGGTGAAACGTTTTCTACTTCATCCAGCAATATTATGTATTCAAGAAATTTTCAGGCTTATAAAGCCCAAAGTGAAAAACAGTTTTTAAAGTTTTACTCCTCATCTAATTAGGAATATAATGTGCCATTTAACAGCATAGAACTACATACAGCGATGTCTCACTCGGGGAATAGTGCTGTAGGCATGGATAAAATCCACTACAGCATGATAAATTTGTCAAACAATTCTCTATCTAATCTTTTGTGTCTGTTTAACAGAATATGGACAGAACATACTTTTCCTGACTCTTGGAGGCTATCTATCATTATTCCCATTCCCAAGCCAGGTAAAGACCACAAGAATCCCTCTAATTACAGACCAATCTCTCTGACAAGTTGCCTGTGTAAACTCTTTGAGAGGATGGTGAACAGGCGTCTGATGTATCTCTTAGAGAAAAATGAATTCTTTTCACTACATCAGAGTGCTTTTTGTAGGAACAGAAGTACCACGAACAATTTAGTAAAATTTGAAACATCCATACGCGAAGTGTTTGTTAGACGACAGCACTTAGTGTCTGTATTCTTTGATATACAGAAGACCTATGATCGCTGCTGGCGTTATGGAATACTTCGTGATTTACATGAATTCGGATTGCGGTATAATTTGCCAGTTTTTATAAAAAACTTCTTAGAGAATCGAAGATTCCAAGTTAGGATGGGCAACACACTATCTAGGTCTTTTGTCCAAGAAGAAGGTGTTCCTCAAGGATGTATTTTGAGTGTGACTCTGTTCGTAATTAAAATTAATAGCATAGCTAACTGTTTTCCTACTAGTGTAAAACACTCTTTGTATGTGGATGTCTTTCAGATCTCCTGCCAGTCTAGCAACATGAGTTTCATTGAGAGACAACTGCAAACCTCCCTAAATCACAGAGAACATTGGTCAAAGATTAATGGTTTTAGTTTCAACATAGAGACCTCCTCGTGCATCCACTTTTGCCGAAGGCGTGGTTTGCACCTGGATCCGGAAATTTACTTAAACGGGGATAAAATCCCAATGGTGAATGAGACTAAGTTTTTGGGTGTTTCTTTTGACCAAAAACTGACATTTTTGCCACACTTGCGCAACCTGAAGAGTAGATGTTTAAAAACTCTAAACCTTTTAAAGGTACTATGCTGCTCATCCTGGGGAGCAGACAAAGTTTCAATGCTCAAGATTTATAGGGCCCTTGTTTGCTGAAAGCTGGATTACGGTTGCATTGTTTATGGCTCTGCGCGAGAATCTACTCTTCGGATGCTGGATCCAATCCACCATCAAGCATTGCGTTTGTGCACTAGTGCTTTTCGAACTTCTCTTGTACAAAGTCTATATGTGGATGCTTATGAGCCTCCACTATCTCTTAGGAGAGAGCAGTTGTCTCTCTTTTATTATATAAAACAAAAATCTTTTACTAAACCTTCAGTTGATTGTACAGTATTAGATACTCAGCTGAAAAGGTTATTTGAAACTTGTCCTAGTAGTGTCCCTACATTCCCCATAAGAATGGAGAATGTGATCAGCACGATTGATCTGAACACATGCAACATTCCACAGCTAGAAGTCTGTAGTATAACACCTTGGTCAACTCCTGTGCTAAATGTTGACCTTAGCTTAAAGCAATTTTGAAAGGAATTTACCCCAGACTACATCTACAGACAGCACTTTGCAGAAATTCAACACTGTGACAAGAATTTAATTCATATATACACTGATGGATCTAAATCTGATGATTATGTTGGCTCAGCCTTTCTCTGCCAGGATGAAATTGTGGCAGAACAAATTTCACGATATTCTTCAATCTTTTCTGCAGAGTTGCATGCCATTTATCTAGCTTTAAAGTATATTAATAGGAAAGGTCATCGTTGTTGTGTGATTTACACTGACTCAGTTAGTACACTTCAGGCTTTGATCTCGAGCAAACCTAATTCTTACTCTATAGTGATTAAAATTCAAAAACTGATTTGCCATCTAATTGCGAGTAATTTCTTTGTAAAATTTTGTTGGGTCCCAGGCCATGTAGGTATAAAAAGGAAATGAAGAAGCTGACACAGCTGCAAAGTCAGCTAGTCCTTCACAGCATACAATGCGTATTGAAGGAGGTGATTTAAAGCTAGTAGTTAAAAAACGACTAGCAGAGAGATGGCAAAACATGTGGAATGCACAAGTCCACAATAAACTACACGAGATCAAACCTACGATAGAAAATTGGACACGTAACAAACAGTACGACAGGAGATCTGAAGTTATTCTTTGTCGTTTGAGAATTGGGCATACTCGGTTGACTCATCAATACCTTTTGAAGGGTGCAGACCAGCCAGTATGTGAGTATTGCAACTGCTTTCTAAGTGTAAAACACATCCTTTGCAACTGCATTGCTTTCGATCAAAATCGTAAACAGCATTTTGGAAATGCAAGCTTGAGAGAGATTTTGGGCCAGAGGCCAAATCTTGATAAAATCCTGAACTTTTTGAAAGTTATAAATATATGCAAAGAGATATAATTATTTATTTAATTTATATTTATACATATTTTGTTATTTTATTTTCAGTTATTTATGTTTCATTAATATAACAAGAAATAAATGTAGAGAAAAATAAATTTTGTAGCTATTAAAATACACTTTACACTACCAGATGTAATAGTTCACGAGATTTTATATCGATAAACTAACGAGAAAAATTAATTTAAAAATCAGTTTTAAAATTTTTGACCTTTGAGACCCACAACCTGGTGAAGAAACCTGCTTGACTACTCCACTGCTGCTTAATATTTTATGGTATTTATTTATTATATACTTATAGTTTTTTTTTTTGTTGTTTTGTCTAATTATGTTTTTGTGTTTTATTAGTTTCTTATGAGATATATGTAGTTTTGTGTAATGTTACCTTTTGTTATGGCGCAGCATAGCCTTCATGGCTCTTGTGCCAAAAAACTTGAACTAACTAACTAAGTAACTAAAATCCATAAACTGTTTTGCCATCTTTGTGCGAGTAATATTTTCGTAAAATTTTGTTCGGTCCCAGGCCATGTAGGTATAAGAGGAAATGAAGAAGCTGACGCAGCTGCAAAGTCAGCAAGACCTCCTCTGAATACAATGTTTATTGAAGGAGGTGATTTGAAGCTAGTTGTTAAAAAATGACTAGCGGATAGATGGCAAAATATGAGGAATGCACAAGTCCACAGTAAACTACACAAGATCAAACCTATGATAGAAAATTGGACACATAAGAAATTCTATGACAGGAGATCTGAAGTTATTCTTAGTCGTTTGAGAATTGGGCATACTCGGTTGACTTATCAATACCTTTTGAAGGGTGAAGACCAGCCAGTATGTGAGTATTGCAACTGCTGTCTAAGTGTAAAACACATACTTTGCCACTGCGTTGCTCTCGATCAAAGTCGTAGACAGCATTTCGGAAATGGAAGTTTGAGAGAGATTTTGGGCCAGAGGACAAATCTGGACAACATAGTGGACTTTTTGAAAGTCAATAATATGTATAGAAAAATTTGACTACTTATTTATTTATTTTTTTATTTTAGAGTTTTATTTATGTTGTTTTTGCTTATCTCCTTGATGTGGGATCCTGTCCGTGGTGAGGGGACCTCCCAGAGATGGTTTAGTAACTTTTCTTTACCATCCCTGGGATCTGAATGCCTACCCACGTGTTTGCCGTGCGTGGTATCCCGTATGCCAGAAAGGGGGATCCTGGTAGTTGAGGGGCAATTGCATAACGTCCCCAACACACTGCTTTGGATAAACGGGAGGCTCAAATCAGGCTTTGTTTGAGTCAATCGGCTGGTTGTTGAGTCATTCTTAACCTCGGCCTGGAGTCAACTGATTGATGAAGACTGGGTGGACACTCAGACAAGATGTGCTCTTCTCGACTGTATTGTGAGGGTATAGCTTCTGGGAAACCCTGGTGTGACAGTCTATGAGAATCACCCATGTGAAGGCATCCTGTTGTTGGGCCCCATGGTGGAAGGGTCACTAGGAGCTGAATAGTTATTATTAAATATGGATTCATTAAAAAAAAAACATGTGCCAATGCATTGCCGCCAAAGGAGGTTAATTCCTCCAATCAACCATCTTATCTGATCTTTCTAAACGTTCCCCCTTTTTGATTCAGAAACTTTTTGAATTGACCATTGGGCATCTTAAAAAAATTTAAAAGTTGTCTATAATACAGTGATGGACACCACGCCGATCGTTTATTAGAAGAAACTTTTAACATATAAGCGTTAAATTACAAGAAAATGTCGCGAAATCAACAAGCGCTTTCGACGATAATTATTTTCGTCTTCGTCAGGTTGATAAAATATTTAAAATCCTTTTTTGAATACAAAAAACAAATCGTTCCAAACGAATTAACGTTTTGGAATACAAGCAACGATAGAACATAATAAGACTTTTAAACAAAACATGCGTGATTATGATGCGCATGTGTTAAACGCCTCGAAATCGTGGAGCTAGATACGTTGTTTTAGATACTTATACAAATTGATCTACAAAGGGGGAAAATCAAGTGTGGGGGTATTGCAGGGCAAATCAAGATATGTGAGCCTTCGCTGCAATGGATGAAGATGTAACCAAACAGGAAGGAGGTAGAAGTCCACTTAATAGTCTGGCTAGGGCCTTTTCAAGATGGAAGGCAGGGTGGTTCTTGTTTGGTTACATCTTCATCTGTTGCAGCGAAGGCTCACATATCTTCTGTCCTAGACCACATTTCACAAAAGGAGTATAGTTACTACAAGTTGGATGTAGTTGCCCTTTACCCCTTGATTCCGCAGTATGAAGCTGTTATGCTTGCTAATGCGCTGCTAATCAGGAAGGGTTTTACAGCGCAAGAGGTTTTAGAGCTACGCGAAGATCTACTCTTTATTTTCGAAAATAATTATTTCCAATTCAAGGGCCAAATATATCTACAGCAGCAGGGAGTCCCGATGGGCTCACCACTTTCAGCGGTTTTGGCGGAGTTAGTTATCAGGAGTATTGAATTCAAGATTTTTAAATTTCCCATTACGATAACGTATCCTCTTATATCTTAGATACGTTGATGACATTCTAATAGCTTGGCAGGACACCCATGAAAATTTTCTTACATTCAAAGATTGTATCGCCACTACTTATCCCACAATTAATTTTACCTGGGAAAAAGAAAAAGAAAATGAAATTGCATTCTTGGATCTAAAAATTATTAAATCCCGGAATAGCATTACGTACTCCGTGTTCCACAAATTTAGTGGTGTACCTCCTCTAATCCCGGCTACAGCATACCAACCACAACATTACATCAAGCGGCAATTTTGCTTTTAATAAGAAGGGCCTTTTTTTTATTTTCCAGCCAAGCGGCTGTCGATACCGAACTTCATATTATTTGCCGTGCGGTAAATGAGGCGGGCTACAATAATGCAACGTTTATCTACATTTTAAACAAGGTAAAAAGATCGCTCTTTCTTGCTACTACACTACCTCTTTCGAAAGAATCCACAATAGTCTTGCCCGCGATACCATTTTGTGGTCATGTCACCGGCCGCATTTGCCGTATATTTAGGCGACATACTTTTTTTCTGCCGGTTTTTCCACGGCCAAATCTTAGGAGGTTGTTGTCCAGTGACAGAGATCCTGTGTCCATCCTTGAAAGTTTGGGAGTTTACTCTGTCCCATTAGAAAGTTGGATAGATATTGCCATCTGCAACGAAAGCATGTCCCCCAAAATTACTAACTGGATTGTTCAAGAAGAGGACAGCCTTACTAATCACGCTCTAATATCCTTTGAAATTATAATTGACAACTCTGGCATCAATCAAACATTTAATGCGCGCACAAAAGATAAACTTAACCAAGCGAACTGGATTGCAATGAAGGATTATCTTGAAATAAATTGGATTACCAACTACTCTATAGATCAAGACATTGCTACTAGTCAAATTGATAAAAATATAGATTTACTACAACAAGCTTGTAATAATTTTATTCCAAAATGCACAACAGTTAGAAAATCGGTACCGTGGTGGTCACAAGAATTAGAAGAGTTGCGTAAGAAAACAAAGAAAATTAGAAAACTGTACCAGCGTTGCAGAAATGATCAATTACGTACTGTACGAAGAAATGAGTATCTTCGCAGTCAAAAAATATACAANATGGCACAATAGTCAGCGATATACAGGGTATTGTCGATTTATTGGGAGAAACATTTTCGTTTTCATCCAGTAATATTATGTATCTAAGAAATTTTCAGGCTTATAAAGCCCAAAGCGAAAAACAATATTTAAATTTCCATTCTTCATCTAATGAGGAATATAATGTGCCATTCACTAACATAGAACTACATACAGCGATCTCTCGCTTGGGGAATAGTGCTGTAGGCCCGGATAAAATCCACTACAACATGATTAAAAATCTGTCAAACAATTCCCTTTGCAATCTTCTAAATCTGTTTAATAGAATATGGACAGAACATACTTTTCCTGACATTTGGAGGCTATCGATCATTATTCTCATTCCCAAGCCTGGTAAAGACCACAAGAATCCCTCAAATTACAGACCAATTTCTCTGACAAGTTGTCTGTGTAAACTCTTTGAGAGAATGGTAAACAGACGCCTGATGTTCCTCCTGGACGAAAAGAACTATTTTTCACCACATCAGAGTGGTTTTCGTAGGAACAGAAGTACCACTGATAACTTAGCAAACCTTGAAACATGTATACGCGAAGCGTTTGTTAGACGACAGCACTTAGTGTCTGTGTTTTTTGGTATAGAGAAGGCCTATGATCGCTGTTGGCGATATGGGATACTCCGTGATCTGGACCATTTCGGATTTTGGGGTAATTTGCCAATTTTCATAAAAAACTTCTTAGAGAATCGAAGATTCCAAGTCAGGATGGGCAACACTTTATCTAGGCCTTTCACGCAACAAGAAGGTGTTCCTCAAGGCTCTATTTTGAGTGTGACTCTGTTCCTAATTAAAATTAATAGCATAGCTANTATTTTTTAATAATGAAAAACGAAAACTTAGCAATAGTCAATTCGACAAAAACTTTTTTAAATTAATGAACAATAGCTTCTATGGTAAATGTATGCAAAATGTGCGTAAAAAATTAATTTAAAACCCGAATTGAATAAAGATCAATGTAAAAAGTTTCATCACGAGCTATATAAAACTACTCTATTTAAAAAACATCAACTTAGCCATAATTAAACTTAAATTGTTAGTAAAAATCATATGATCACGACTCAATTTCAAAATGAAATTTCACTTTCCGCTTTTTACAATAAGAAATACATTTTAAGTAATGGAATAGATACTTTATCTTATAATCATTATTCTATTTTTTCATAGTCATTTTTTCAATTTATTTATTATTGTTATTTATATNTAACAGAGGTCCGGATAATGGAGGTTCTACTGTATTAATACATGTACAAAATATTGATGCTAATTTAAATGATCTTGAATATTTAAAGATTATGATAAAATTATTTTTAGGAAAACAAATTTATAACTTTTCACATATTTTCGATAAAACATAAATCAGAGTAAAATGATAATTATTCGATACAAATTTGTTTGGTAAATGTTTCTGATTCGCAATGACGATACACCAATTAAGTTTATGTTTGTAATCTTCCATAAATTTTTCGGATAATTCTTGATGCTTCGAAATAAGGTCCCAATCCACAACGTTATCAAGTTCTCTAATAATTTCTTCGTGCAATTGTTGATATTGACAAATAAGCTTCATATTCAGGAAATGTTTAAAAGTTAATATGAAATTTTGACTCAGTCTTTGATATTGAGATACGAGATTNTCTGTCCATGCTAGAAAATAATGGCACAATAGTCAGCGATATACAGGGTATTGTCGATTTATTGGGAGAAACATTTTCGTCTTCATCCAGTAATATTATGTATCCAAGAAATTTTCAGGCTTATAAAGCCCAAAGCGAAAAACAATATTTAAATTTCCATTCTTCATTTAATGAGGAATATAATGTGCTTTTCACTAACATAGAACTACATACAGCAATCTCTCGCTCGGGGAATAGTGCTGTAGGCCCGGATAAAATCCACTACAGCATGATTAAAAATCTGTCAAGCAATTCCCTTTGTAATCTTCTTTGTCTGTTTAACAGAATATGGACAGAACATACTTTTCCTGACTCTTGGAGGCTATCGATCATTATTCCCATTCCGAAGCCTGGTAAAGACCACAAGAATCCCTCAAATTACAGACCAATTTCTCTAACAAGTTGTCTGTGTAAACTCTTTGAGAGAATGGTAAACAGACACCTGATGTTCCTCCTGGAGGAAAAGAACAATTTTTCACCACATCAGAGTGGTTTTCGTAGGAATAGAAGTACCACTGATAAATTAGTAAACCTTGAAACCTTTATACGCAAAGCGTATGCTGCTCATCCTAGGGAGCAGACAAAGTTTCGATGCTCAGGATTTATAGGGCCCTTGTTCGCTCTAAGCTGGACTATGGGTGCATTGTTTATGGCTCTGCGCGAGAATCTACTCTTCGGATGCTGGATCCAATCCACCATCAAGCTTTGCGTTTGTGCACCGGTGCATTTCGAACTTCCCCTGTTCAAAGTTTGTATGTGGATGCTTATGAGCCTCCACTACCTCTCAGGAGAGAACAGTTGTCTCTCTTTTATTACATTAAACAAAAATCTCAGAAAAAACTTACAGCTGATTGTCCAGATACTTAGCTGAAAAGATTATTTGCCGCTCGGACGAGTTGTGTCCCCACATTCGACATAAGAATGGAGAATGTAAGCAGCACGATTGACCTAGACACAAGCAACATCTCACATGTTGAGGTTAATAGTATTTCACCTTGGTCATCTTTACTGATTGATGTTGATTTAAGCTTAAAGCAGTTCCCTAAAGAAACCACGCCAGACTACGTCTATAGACAGCACTTTGCAGAAATTCAGCATTGTAACAGGAATTTAATTCCTATATACATCGATGGATCTAAGTCGGATAACTATGTCGGCTTAGCCTTTGTTTGCCAGGATTAAATTGTGGCAGAACAAATAGCACTGAATTCTTCCATCTTTACTGCGGAGTTGCAGGCTATTTACTTAGCCTTAAAGCATTTAAATTGGAAAGGTCATCGTTGCTGCGTGATTTACACTGACTCAGTTAGTGCACTTCAGGCTTTGATCTCGTATGAACGTAGTTGCACTCCATAGTTATTAAAATTCAAAAACTAATTTGTCATCTCACTACGAGAAATTTTTTTGTGAAGTTCTGTTGGGTACCAGGCCATGTGGGTATAAGAGGTAATGAAGAAGCTGATACAGCCGCTAAGTCAGCAAGTCCCTCACAGCATACAATGCGTATTGAAGGAGGTGATTTGAAGTTAGTCATTAAAAAACGACTAGCAGAGAGATGGCAAAATGTGTGGAATGCACAAATCTACAATAAACTTCACGAGATCAAACCTTTGGTAGAAAATTGGACACATAATAGGCAATATGATAGGAGATCTGAGGTTATCCTTACTCGTCTGAGAATTGGACACACTTGACTGACTCATCAATACCTTTTGAAGGGAGATGACGAACCAGTATGTCAGCACTGCAACTGTGCTGTAAGTGTTAAACACATATTTTGCAACTGTGTTGCTTTTGATCAGAGTCGTAGACAGCNGACACACTTGACTGACTCATCAATACCTTTTGAAGGGAGATGACGAACCAGTATGTCAGCACTGCAACTGTGCTGTAAGTGTTAAAAACATATTTTGCAACTGTGTTGCTTCTGATCAGAGTCGTAGACAGCATTTCGGAAATGCAAGCCTTAGAGACATTTTGGGCCAGAGGCCAAATCTGGATAATATACTGGACTTTCTAAAAGTCATTAATATGTATAGGGAAATTTGATGAATTAATTATTGTACAGTTTTATTTATGTTGAGTTGCATATATAAATTATTGTATATATATTTTGTTGTTGTTTGTTTATTTATTTTTGTTGTTACTTATTTATTCATTATATTCTAGATTTTATATTTATATTACCATTGGTTGTTTAATGGTTAAACTGTGATGTATCGTTCATGTATATATATGTCTTCCTATTTATTTTCTACTTCGAATTTCACCATGTGTTGTGGCGCAGTATAGCCTGTATGGCTTTTGTGCCAATAAAAGTTAACCAACCAACCAACCAACCAGTTTCAAAAGAAGATAATAATAGTATTGAAAAATTAAATAATAAAAATTCAATATGGAAGTTTCGAATGGAGATGCTATTAATTAAAGAAAATTTATATGACGCAGTATTCGGCATTAAACCTGAAAAACCAGACGATGCATACTATAAGTGTGATTGTACTGTTAGAGCAATAATATGCTTAAATATTTCAGATTCTCAAATAACTTATGGAATACATGAATCGACTGCTTTGGAAACATGGCAAAAGTTAAAAAGTGTCCACGAACGAGCTAACCTAACAAGCAAATTATTTTTACTTAGAAAACTTTATTCTATAAAATTTAATGAGAACAGTCAAATGCAGGATGACATAGAAGATATTTTTGGATTGAAGGAATGCCTGGAAAGCATTGTTGAACAGATGAAAGAGTCACACTTATGTGCTATACTGCTATGTAGTTTACCGGAGTCATATTCTACTTTAATAACTGCACTAGAAAATAAGAATGAAGATGAACTAACACGAGGATATATAACAAGTAAACTGATAGATGAATGTGAAAGGCATTTACAAAGTAAACAAAGTTCATCGGGACAAGCCTTAGCATTTAAAAGCAAAAATGCTGAAAAGTGGAACTACAAAGAAAAGAAATTTTGCACTTACTGCCACTAAAATAATCATTATAAAATCATTATAAAAGTGAACGTTGGCATTTAAACAACAAAAATAAGGCAAGTGAAGATGCTTTTAAGAGACAAAGAACAAATAAAAATATTTACAAGAATTATGATAAGCAACACAAGTCCACGGTTTGTGTTAGTAAAGGATAAACAAGGTGAAAGAAAAGTACAATTGTATGAAACAAATTATGTTGACAATGATTGGGTCATTGATTCAGGTGCAATGTGTCATATGACACGATTAAAAGGACCAAGGCCTGACTCAGAGGTATAGCCTGGTAGTTAAGAAACGGAGGAAGAGTTAAAGTTTGTTTGGAAGAGGTGGGAGAGAGAAGGGGAATTAAAGTATAATAGGAAAGAAAGAAAGTAGTCAACCAGGGGTCATGGGACCCCATGAGCGTCCCGCATCAGCATCTATTAAAACAAAACAGTACAGAATACAAAAATAAAAAGGATTACAAAGTTGATTACATAATGTAGCAATGATTGGTAAACATAATGGTGATATATACAGTTATACAGTTATATAAAGTCTGAATTGACAAGTATTATATAAAAGGAAGTACAATATTTGGGAGTATATAATGAAAATGACAATAACAGAATAAAATGTACATAAATATCAGAACAAACAAAATAGGTAGGTATTACAAGAGGATAAGTACAATAGGAAACAGGAGTAAAATACGCATATACATAATCATAATATAATATGGAAGTGATACAAAATATGAAAGAAATTTATATACAACATGGTTACATACACACGAAGAGCAGGTATAACAATTGAAATACAGGTAACAAGTCAGTGCGTAACAGAGCAGATGAAGAGCACTAGTCCAGTTTACGAATATGCATGGCAAAGTCTTTTAGTGAGATAAAGTTCTTTTTGTCATTGGTGAAATCACTTAGCTTACAAGGCCAGTGGTAGCCATTTGAGTAAACTGCTTGGATAAGATTGTGGCGTTGCGTGGTGTAGTGGGGACAATGGAAAATCAGGTGGTAGGTGTCTTCTTCCTCGTTAAGGCTGCAGTCACACAGCCCATCAGTCTTGTTGAGGAACCTGTGCAGATAAGAGTTCATATTGCCATGTCCCGTTAAAAGCTGTGTAAGTTGAAACGTGGTGAAGAGGGGATGGGTCATGCAGTCCGTTGCAATGGGGAAAAAGCTGTGAGTTAGCCTTCCCGTGCTACTATCATCCCATCTTAGCTGCCAGGAGTTGGTGTAGACTTCGTGTAGGATCTTCTTGAGGTGCTTATTACTAAATTTGCTGTAACAAACACTAGAGTTTTTTGTAGAGGCAGTACGAGCAAGGAGGTCAGCCCTCTCATTCCCCGCGGTCCCAGAGTGGCCCTTAATCCACTGAAAGGTGATGTTTATGTTTTTACTGTTAAGACACAGGATGAGGTTGACACGACTCCGCCTGATTATTTGTGCAATGTTGAGCGAGGGTCCTGCAAAGCTGAAAGACACAGCGCCCCTTAGTGAAGACCACAAAAGCACAACCTACATAATCAGTAGTCTTTGAACCGTCTGTGTAGATATTGATGTTATGATGTACACAAGTACCAGTGTTGATGTTGACCTCAGGGGCAAAGGAGGGATGAACATGCAGATATGCTCTGCTTTTGTCGATGTCATTGTCCTTAATAAGGTTAGCAATTTTCTTGAGGTCCTCCGGGTAATCCTCCTTATCTGCGATGCTGTTGAAATGGTCCATAGTGTATTGGTTCTCAGCAAGCTTGGTGAGATGATGCCTGATATACATCTCCCTTATCTTCAGGTCAATTGGGAGAGTACGGTTTATTATCTGTAGAGCATCGGTGGGTGCAGTTTTGTATGCTTTTGCAATGTTAATGGAGAAAAGCCTTTGAAGGGATAGCAGTTTCCTTCTTATGTGGACTCTAGTAGCTGCAGAGCCCCAAATTTCGGCACCATAGGAGATAATTGGTTCAATAGCCGCTGTATATAGGGTACGGCTGGCAGCAGGTCCGTAGCCCCATTTATTCCTACTAATGGATTTCATGACCTGAGTGACTTTGATAGCCTTCTCATAAACAAAATGGACATGATCAGTCCAGTTGAGTTTCTGATCGAGCACGATGCCCAGATACTTAACCGTGTGTCATATGACAGGAAACTTAAAATTTTTGAAGAAACTTAACAAGCAAAAAAGCAACTCTATCACCATTGCCAATGGAGCAAAGCTGAAATCACATGGCATAGGTGAAGGATGTGTAAAGGTCAGAACACTTCATGGAAATGAAGAAGTTTTCTTAGAAAATGTACTTTATGTTCCAGAGTTAGATGGAAATTTTACTCACAGTAAAAGCCATAACTGATAGAGGCTGCTTAGTTAAATTTGAAAATAATGTATGCACCATAGAGAAAGATGATGAGTTAATTGCTACAGGCATTGCCACAGATAGTATTTACAAGTTAATTGCTGCAACAAATAAGCAAGAACGAGTAAACAGTGCTCAATTAATGGAAAATTGTACAAATAAAAATTGCATACTTAAATGGCACCAAAGACTAGGTCACAGAAATTATGACACAATGAAACAAACAAATGGAAAGAGAAAACTTAATAGAGGGAATAAAGTTGCATAATTGTAAACATGATTTACAATGTCCAATATGCATTAAAGCAAAGCTCACTGAATTGCCATCCTTTCGATGTGGGTTCCTGTCCGTGATGAGGGGACCTGCCAGAGATGGTTTAGTAATTCTTCTTTACCATCCCTGGGATCTGAACGCCCACCCACGTGTTTGCCGTGCGTGGTGTCCCGTATGCCGGAAAGGGAGATCCTGGTAGTTGAGGGGCACTATACCGTCTCCAACACATTGGCCCCTGCTTTGGATAAATGGGAGGCTCAAATCAGGCTCTGTTTGAGTCAATCGGCTGGTCGTTGAGTCATTCTTGACCTCGGCTTGGAGTCAACCGATAGATGCAGACCGGGCGGACATGTCATACAAGATGTGCTCTTCTTGACTGCATTGTGAGGGTATAGCTCCTGGGAAACCCTGGTGTGATGGTCTATGGGAATCTCCCATGTGACAGCATCCTTTTGTTTGGCCCCATGGTGGGTGGGGTCACCAGGAGCTGAACTATTATTAAATATGGATTCACTAAAACCTAAAACATGTACTGATGCATTACCACCAAGGGATGTCATTTCTTCTAATCAATTAGCATATCTTATTGTTCGTGCTATGGAAGAAACACCTCTATCTAAACGTTCTCCTGTTTTGATTCAAAAATTGTTTGAATCGATCATTGGGAATCTTAAAAAAATTCAAAAACTGAGGTCAGGAGATCTACTCGTAGAAGCAGCCTCCCCTCAACAGTCAGCAAAGCTTCTCAAAATGAAGTCTGTAGTAGAAATAACGGTCACCATCACACCACACACAAGTTTGAACTCATTACATGGTGTGATATGTGAAAACGACTTGATGTCTGAGGATGAATTAGATATTCAGATTGGTCTTTCAGACCAAGGTGTCACTGCTGTTTGACGAATTTCGATCTGTCATGATGGCAAGTTGATACCAACAAAACACCTTATATTGACTTTCAACAAACCAACATTGCCATCTTCTGTTGCGGCAGGATATCTCCGTTGCCCAGTTCGCCCATACATTCCAAATCCTCTACGTTGCTTTAAATGTCCCCTCGATGTGGGTTCTTGTTTGTGGTGAGGGGACCTCCCAGAGATGGTTTAGTAACTCTTCACCATTTCTGGGATCTGACCGCCCACCAATGTGTTTGCCGTGCATGGTGTCCCGTATGCCAGAAAGGGGGATCCTGGTAGTTGAGGAGCAACATACTGTCCCCAACACACTGCTTTGGCCCCTGCTTTGGATAAACGAGAGGCTCAAATCAGGCTCCATTTGAGTCAATCGGCTGGACGTTGAGTCATTCTTGACCTCGGCTTGGAGTCAACCAATCGATGCAGACCGGGCGGACGCGTCCCTGCTTGACAGTTTTGTCTTGTCAGTTCAGATGTGCTCTTTTTTACTGCATTGTGAGGGTATAGCTCCTGGGAAACCCTGGTGTGACGGTCTATGGGAGTTTCGCATGTGACGGCATCCCCTTGTTGGGCCCCATGGTGGGTGGGGTCACTAGGAGTTGAATAATTAAATATCAATCATGGACCCAAAAACTTGAAAACATTTTGACAAAGCGACAATATCGACGACAAAAGAAAAGACCTCCAGCCAACCTGCTTACTTAATAGTGCACGCAACTGGAGAAAAACCCTCGCAAAGTGTTTTTTTTTTTTTTTGATTCAAAAGCTTTTTGAATCAACCATTGGGCATTTAAAAAAGATCCAAAAATTGAGGTCAAGGAACCTACTAGTGGAAACAGCCTCTCCTCAACAAACAACAAAGCTTTCAACAATGAAGACTTTTGGAGACGTGGGAATATTAGTCACACTACACAGAAGTTTGAACTCATCACGTGGTGTGATATCTGAGTTTTATTTGATATCTGAAGACGAATCAGATATTCAGATTGGCCTGTTCGACCAAGGTGTCACTTCTGTCCAACGCATTTTGATTCGTTGAGACAGTAAGTTGATACCCACAAAACATCTAATTCTCACGTTCGACAATCCAACATTGCCATTTTTTGTTACGGCAGGATATCTGCGCTGCCCTGCCCGTCCATACGTTCCAAATTCGCTGCGTTGCTTCAAATGCTAGCAATTTGGACATTCTCAGACATCCTGCCAAGGCAAAAGCTTATGTGCACAGTGTGGTACTGAAGGTCACGACAGTACTGAATGTAAAAGTACACCACACTGTGTGAACTGTAAAGATGCCCATCCTGCCTATTCCAGGAAATGCCCTGCATGGCAAAGAGAAAAGGAGATTTAACGGGTGAAAACTGTAAAAAATGTATCATACCCAGAGGCCTGTCGCATGGTCACTCCAAGTGCATTATTGCAGCAGAAAACATTTGCTAGTGTGTTGAAATCCACTAAGACATGTGGGGTTCAAACAGATATTTCTGTATCTTCAAGTAAATCTCTTACTCGCCATGCAAAATGCTTATTGATCCCATCTGCACAATCAGAAGAAAAGAAGAACACAAAGACTGAAACCTCTGTAACTAAAACGGGAGTAACAACCAGAAATGTGGGTTCTAAAAAAGCCAGTAAGAACCCACTTAACAAACAAAGAGTTAAAGCAGTCCTCTCTAAAGTCTCAAAAAAATCAGAAGCTCAATCTATGAGTGAGTTTTCTGACATATCTGATGAAGAGCCTTATATGGAGGTTTCAAAACGAAAGTCATCTCCAAAAGAAAAACCGCCTGTTAAATTAAAGAGGGATATCCTCGCAAAGAATACTGCCTCAAACACATAATGGGTTATAAAATAATCCAATGGAACTGTCGTGGTTTCTGCAACAACTTCTCTGACATTAAACACTTGACATCATCTACCTCATCTCTCTGTGTGGCACTCCAGGAAACCCATCTAAAACCTGGCGAAAATATTTCTTTTAAAGGTTTCAATCTTTATCGCAAGGATGATGATAGCCACAACCGAGCCAATGGCAGTGTGGCTATTTTGGTTTCCAATCGAATCCCATCTCTGCTGGTACAAATAACCACTGATTTACAAACTGTGGCAGTCAGAATTTCTATTGGAGTAACTGTCACAGTTTGCTCTATATACTTGCCACCAGATGTCAGAGTCAAGGAAGATGAATTGGATACCTTAGTTGAACAGCTGCCAACACCATTCCTTCTACTGGGTGATTTCAATGGTCACAATCCTAGTTGGGGCAGTCCCGACATTAATCGTCGAGGCAGAGCCATTGAACGACTCATAGGCAATCAGCAAATGTATTTATTTAATACTGGAGATGTGACATACTTCCATGCCTTAACAAGAACTTTCACTGCCATTGATTTATCATAAGCGAGTCCAAACCTGTTTTCAGCATTTATATGGGAGGTTGATCTAATCCACTCTCTAGCGACCACTTTTCAATATTTTTAAAATATCGAGGCAGAGAAAGCTGTGAAACAGCCCATCCACCACGCTGGAAACTTGAAACGGCAGATTGGCCTGCATTTTCCTCTTTGGCTAACATCACTGAGGAAATGGTCAATATTGCTGATATCAATGATGCAGTGGAAGTTGTCACTTCCAGTATTATTCAGGCAGCTGATAAAACAATGGGTAAAACATCAATTAGATATCCAAAACATCCTAAACCATGGTGGGACCAAAAATGCGAGGCAGCATTTAAAGCACAAAAGAAAGCATGGGGAATTTTCAGAAGATATTTCACTGCTCAAAATTTGGTTGCTTTTCAAAAAGCAAAGGCAAATGCCAGAAGAATAAGGAAACAAAGCCAAAGGGATTCTTGGAGGAAGTATGTTTCTAGCATAACATCATCCACTAGCTCAAAAGCAGTCTGGGATAAAATTTATAAAATCAATGGGAAGTATGCTTCCCACTCTCTGTCCATGCTGGAAAATAATGGCACAATAATCAGCGATATACAGGGTATTGCTGATTTATTGGGTGAAACATTTTCTGCTTTATCCAGCAATATTGTGTATTCAAGGAGTTTTCAGGCTTATAAAGCCCAAAGAGAAAAACAGTGTTTAAACTTTTATTTTTTATCTAATGAGGAATATAATGTGCCATTCACTAGAATTGAATTACATACAGCAATCTCTCGCTCGGGGAATAGTACTGTAGGCCTGGATAAAATCCACTACAGCATGATTAAAAATCTGTCAAACAATTTTTTTTCTAATCTCTTGCATCTGTTTAACAGAATATGGACAGAACATACTTTTCCCAACTTCTGGAGGTTATCTATCATTATTCTTATTCCCAAACGTGGTAAAGATCACAAGAATCCCTCTAATTACAGACCAATTTCTCTGACAAGTTGTCTCTGTAAACTTTTCGAGAGAATGGTAAACAGGAGTGTAATATATCTCTTAGAGAAAAAGGAATACTTTTCACCACATCAGAGTGGATTTCGTAGAAACAGAAATACCACTGATAACCTGGTAAACCTTGTAACATCTATACGCAAAGCGTTTGTTTGACGACAGCACTTTGTGTCTGTGTTTTTTGACATAGAGAAGACCTATGATTGCTGTTGGCGATACGGGATACTTCGTGATCTACACCAATTCGGATTGCGAGGTAATTTGCCAATCTTTATAAAAAACTTCCTACAGAATTGAAGATTCCAAGTTAGGATGGGCAACGCTTTATCTAGCCTCTTCACACAAGAAGAAGGTGTTCCTCAAGGATCTATTTTGAGTGTGACTCTGTTTTTAATTAAAATTAACAGCATAGCTAACTGTCTTCCTTCCAGTGTGAAACACTCTTTGTATGTAGATGACTTTCAGATTTCCTGTCAGTCTAGTAATATGAGTTTCATTGAGAGACAACTTCAAACTTTCCTAAATTGCATATATCATTGGTCCAAGACCAATGGGTTTACGCTTAATGCAACGAAGACATCGTGAATCCACTTCTGCCGAAGGCATGGTTTGCACCTGGATCCTGAAATTCACCTAAAATGCGATAAAATTTCAATGGTGAATGAGGCTAAGTTTATGGGTGTTTATTTCAACCCAAAACTGACATTTTTGCCACACTTGCGCAACCTGAAGAGTAGATGTTTAAAATCTCTAAACCTTTTAAAGGTATTATGTTGCTCATCCTGGGGAGCAGACAAAGTTTCTATGCTCAGGATTTATAGGGCCCTTGTCCACTCTAAGCTGGACTATGGTTGCATTGTTTATGGCTCTGTGCGAGAATCTACTTTTCAGATGCTGGATCCAATCCATTATCAAGCAATACGTTTGTGCACTGGTGCTTTTCGAACTTCCCCTGTACAAAGTTTGTATGTGGATGGTTATGAGCCTCCACTATCTCTCAGGAGAGAACAGTTGTCTCTATTTTACTATTTAAAACAGAAATCTTACTCTAAATATTCAGTTGATTGTACAGTATTAGTTACTTAGCTGAAAAGGTTATTTGAAGCTCGCCCGAGCAGTTTTTCTTCATTTGCCATAAGAATGGAGAATGTGAGCAGCACAATTGATCTGAACACAGGCAACATTTCACAGCTAGAGGTCTGTAATATATCTTCTTGGTCAACTCCTGTGATAAATGTTGACCTTAGCTTAAAGCAATTTCTAAAAGTATCTACCCCTGATTATGTCTACAGGCAGCATTTGCAGAAATTCAACACTATGACAGGAATTTAATTTCTATTTATACAGATGGATGTAAATCTGATGGTTATGTTGGCTCAGCCTTTGTCTGTTAGGATGAAATCGTGGCAGAACAAATTGCATTGAATTCTTCCATCTTTCCTGCAGAGTTCCATGCTATTTATTTAGCTTTAAAGTATATAAATAGGAAAGGTTATTGTTCCTGTGTTATTTACACTGACTCAGTTAGTTCACTTCAGGCTTTGATTTTATGTGAACCTAGTTCTCACTGTATAGTGATTAAAATTTGTAAGCTCTTTTGCCATCTTACTGCGAGTAATTTGTTTGTAAAATTTTGTTGGGTCTCAGGCCATGTAGGTATAAAAGGGAATGAAGAAGCTGACGCAGCTGCAAAGTCAGCTACTCCTTTACAGCATAGAATGCGTATTGAAGGAGTCGATTTGAAGCTAGTAGTTAAAAAACGACTAGCAGAGAGATGGCAAAACGTGTGGAATGCACAAGTACACAATAAACTACATGAGATCAAGCCAAATATAGAAAATTGGACACATAATAAACAGTATGACAGGAGATTTGAAGTAATTCTTACTCGTTTGAGAATTGGGCATACTCGGTTGACTCATCATTATTTTTTGAATGGTGAAGACCAGCCAGTATGCGAGTATTTCAACAGCTTTCTAAGTGTAAAACACATGCTTTGTAACTGCACAGCTTTTGATCAAAGTCATAGACAGCATTTTGGAAATGCAAGTTTGAGAGAGAATTTGGGTCAGAGGCCAAATCTTGACAAATTATTGAACTTTTTGAAAGTGAATAATATTTATAAACATATTTAATTATTTATTTAGGTTATGTTTATATATACCTTGTTGATTATTTATTTATTTATTCATTTATGTATATATNCTTTCTAAGTGTAAAACACATGCTTTGCAACTGCACAGCTTTTGATCAAAGTCATAGACAGCATTTTGGAAATGCAAGTTTGAGAGAGATTTTGGGGCAGAGGCCAAATCTTGACAAATTATTGAACTTTTTGAAAGTGAATAATATTTATAAACATATTTAATTATTTATCTAGGTTATGTTTATATATACCTTGTTGATTATTTATTTATTTATTTATTTATNTAATAAAATATATCAAGAAATAGACAAAGTCATAGTTGCTAACCCTCCGAATTAACTGTCAAATGCAAAATCACACTTTTAAATACAGTGCATTATCAAAATAGAAGCAATAAATACAATTAATCTAATTATAAATAAGTTGGTTTGTTTAGCAAATCGTAAGAATACATTATATAAATTCTTGTCTCTCATAATGTCAGAAAAACGGCATGGCCAATCCACCCCAATCTCCTCTAATGTTAATCTTAATTCCAGCCTCACTCTTTCAAACATAACGCAGTCGAACAAATAATGTTTCGATCCATCAATAATATGGCATGTAGGGCATTCGTTCGAAGTCCTACTAGTAAACCTGGCAAGATAGCATGCAAATTTTCCGTGATTGGTGAACATTTGAGTCACACAGTAATTTGACTCAAATGTTCACCAATCACGGAAAATTTGATACGTAATACTGTACACATTCCAATGATAAATACAGAATGTTAATATAGTAAAATGAGCTTATAATAAAAGCTACACACTGCGAATGAAAACATTAACTTACATAAAAAAGATAGAGGTGGTGAGAGTATTTTACACATGCTACTTTTAAAACAGAAAAAACAATAAGCAAATTGATGAAAGGTATTGATATTAGTTTAATAAAGAAATCTCAGTTAATTTTCAATTAAATAACTGTAGGAAAATTAATATTATCTTTTCTACTTTTATTATTTAAGGATTAGCATGTCTAGATTATAGTAATAAGTATTAAAACTTTATCACAAAAAAGGATATTTTAAAAAATTACTTCTACAGACAATTTCAATTTTTACTTAGAAATAAATAAATTCATTTATTATAAAGGAGACAAACAAAAATTTATTTGAAAAACACAAATATTTGTTTTATTTGGGTCTCTAATTAATAAATACGACGAAACACCATTTTAAAGTGCATTTTTATTCGACTAATATATTTATAAATAATATGTATCCAAAAATGCAGCCGAGTCAAATTTCTGTAGCCCAACAAGTAGCCAATGCGCCAAATGATATTTTTTACGCCAAACTGATAAAAGGATAGCCAAATTTGGCAACGCTACTCGTGTGTCGCTACTCTGATAATGGGTACTCTAGCACTTTCAACTTGCGAGCGACCTTTGTCCCAAGGTCCTAGAATATATTCTAGGACCTTGCCTCTGTCCAGCGTAGCGCGTTTTGTTTACAATATGGCGGCGAGACGATTTCGTCGAATAAATGTCATGGAAAAGTTTTCTTCAATGCTCTTCTACACTTTCTTATTGTGTTTCCGAAATGTCTTGTGGGCAAAAAACACACGATATTTATAAGAAACGTCACGAGTTCGGAGAATTTCATCATTTGTATCGTGAAATAAAAGACGATCCAGCGAAGTTTTTTGAATATTGTATAGACAGAATGCTACCTGCAACTTTCGATTACGTCCTACAAAGTATTCGGCCCTACATTGTGAAGACTATTACGAATTTCCAGAAACCTATATCACTTGAAGAGAGGCTTTTTGTTACGCTAAGGTAAAGTACTGAGTTTCTTTTCTTTTAATTATCCTCTTTGACTTTGTTCTCGTTTTCGTGACTTCGAGCATCACTCGAGCCCTAGAAAAAGTTATCAAATTGAAGGTACTGTAATGTGACACAAGAATTGCTGAGTTTCCTTCAATTGGCAGTTTCACGACCGTTTTTAAAAAAGTGTTATTGAAAACATAGTGTTGAAATTGTTTTATTTGAAAGGTGATGATATCACTAACTAGATGCACAGTAAATAAAAAGAATCTTCATAGAGTAAGTTTTAAAAAATGTTTTATTTTCAAAATGTCATATTGAATTAAATATAAATGAATAAAGCAAGATAAATTTTATACAATATATATATACACAAGTTAATTAATAATTTTATTAGTCTTTTAACTGGTCAAGTACAAAATTTTGAATTTTTGATCTGACAGTTAGTTTTTTAATTGGTGGTAATAGTTTCATGTAAGGTAGTAAAGATTTAAAAAAGTTCAAATCATCATCATCTTCCGTTTCTGCTTTTCTCAACCATTCAATTTTCAGCTTTTCTATCTCTAGAATTTCTTTTTGTAAATCTAGTTTATCTGTCTTTCTTTTTTGTTTTTTGTTTGGTATAGACGGGCATGATCCAGATGACAAAGTCAGTTTGTCATTTATATCTACAATACATCTGTCTGTCTCATCATTTTGTAGGTTCCAAATTGTAGGTTCTTCAATGTAATTTGTAACTTCATTATCAACAGTAGTTTCTGGATCACTTGTTGAGGGACCCAGATCTACTAGCAGATTACTGCTAGTAAATCTGGGTTTTATGAATTCTCTCAAAAATTCAAGTGAACTAAAATGTATCCACTTTGTTCGTTTTGCTGGAGCTGCATCTCCTGATCTAGTGTTTTGAATTTTTTTCAACTCCTTTCGGAAATTGTCGCGAAGGCTTTTCCACTTTGATTTTGCCAGCTCCTCTGAAATTGAAAGGAAACGTAAAGTTATTATTAAATTATAAGAACCTTACTGTAGTAATAGTTACCTCACTTCAAACAGTAAAATGTTTGAACATATTACATTAACATAGATACCATATTACATTAACTGCACAGGAAAATAATGAAATTGATGTGATTACATGCTCAATGTAAGACTTATTGTTAAACTTTGTTTACTTACTGAATATTTATATCTCTCTGTGTATGTGTATGTAAATAAATCAAAGAATACTAAATGAAAATACGAATATACTAAACTCAAGAACACTATTTTACATAATTACTCTTCTTTATTTTTACAGATATCTTTCAACAGGAATTTCTTTTAGACAGCTGGTCTTTTCCATGAGAATTGGTTAGATTTTACAAATACGTGTGCCGGGCTGTGAACGGTTCACTTATTTGTGAAATTAAGTGACTCGTACAACATGGAATTCGTATAAAACAGAATAATCAACAGTGTTATAGGGGGGTCGACTGTACATTAGTTTCCCGTATATAAAAGATTTATATGAAGAAATTAATAAAGAAATGCGGAAAGTAAACATGAAACTTGCACCTAAGTAAGAAAACCTGCAATCTGGGATAAAAAACAAAAAATTTACAAAACAAAATAAAGAGACGAAAGAAGAAACCAAGAATGTAGTTTACGAGATTCCATGTACAGTACTGTACTTGTAAAGATGCCAATATCTATATAGGTGAAACTAAACGTAAGCTAAATACTGTACAAGATTAAAAGAACATATTGCAGATATGAAATATCATAGATTAAATTCTGTCTTTCATGATCATTGTCTACTAAATAATTGTAATATAGATAAAGCTAATGTAAAAATCTTATATAAAGAAAAGAATACATATAATAGAAAATTCAAAGAAAGTGTGACTATCATAAACTTCAATTATTGTATAAATAGGAACTTAAGCGTAAAAATAAGCAAAGATTGGTTGAAAATATTGTAAATATAATTTAAAAGAATTTTTTTAAAGATATTTTAAAGAATTTTAATTTATTTGACTGTTTTTAGCTATTCCAAACTTATGTAAATTCCGACTGTCGTGAATGGTTGAAAATGCAAATTAACGTAAACAGCAACCAAGCTCAATATTGTGCGATGAACCGACAAGAAATAAAATATACTATAGTAGGTTAAGAGAAGTTTCTCTGATTCTGTGATGCGCCAAAGTAGAAGTTTGAAAAAAGTCAGCCAAGTACAGTATATTCATCAACTTTGATAAGAAGATGGAAAATATATTGCGTCTACTTAACAGTAAGAAACAGCACTAGATCAGACTTAGTACAGTACGTAGATTTTATAACGTTGATGCAGTCAACTTATCCTTCTAGTTGGGAGAATGAAAACTTGTGGTGTATAAGTGTCATTGCATACATTGCGTGTTTAATGGTATGTTTTTAAAAAATATACATGTGTTTGGATTAAATTTGTATAATTTACTTTTTGCAAAATATGATAATTCGATATTGTATATGTTCTTTCTTGTTTAGTTGACTGATGAGGGGTTAAGTGTCCGAAACGTGTAGTAGTACCCGTATCAACTGAATAAAGATGGTAAAAAGCCAACTGTTTAATTAATAACACAATCTTGTGTTCAACACTCAATATTTATTCCGCTCTCCCATCTTATATTACTTACGGATTTCAATGTTAAACCAGTGATATTACGATTTCGTATGTCCCATCGATAAGAGGATGTAGAAAAAAACGTGTACAATTCTTGTATAATGTTAAAAAATTAACTGTTATTTTGACAGCGTCATTTACAACTAAATTTAATGAATGAGAGAGATGCACGAGGTACAGAAAAAGCTCTAGAGTTTATTTTCCTTAAATTTACGATTTATGTATCGTTGTCATAAAAGTCTCTTTCCACTTCTTTCCCAAGACTACAAATATTGAAGTACAAAGTAACTTGTTTCAACTTATTTCTACTAAATAATTAAGAGATTAGAGAATTAAGGACATAAATAAAACCCTGCTAAAAGAGCCGGAAGAAAATCAAGCAGGTTCTGAAGAAAGGCCCGAACTTTGTCCCCACTAGAGCCGGAATATTTAAACAAAAGCTTAACCGTACCAATCTTTAGCTGAGTACAGTGGGGACTGATTTCTTGGTAATGTTAGATGTAATAAAGATAGAAATTTTTCCAGTTCAATGAGAGTGACTGAAAAGTAAATTTTGGAAATTTCCGTGGACACCACCTGGTCCTAAAACGAATTAGTTAGAAAACAAACGATGGACAATTTATTAAGTTTAACATATTTAGATTTTACAGCTATGGCGAGAAAAGTTTGAAATTTACAACAACCTGTCGCGTCCTTTGAGGTATATTAGAGATGCGACTAAAGAGGCATTTGACATTGACCGGCACCGGCACCCTCGGGATTTGGCAGCCTGTGTGCATACACGCACTGCACACCTACCAGGACGTCTCTGATTCCATTCATTAGCCACTCGTAGGGAGCTATTTGACTAAGTGGATTGTTTTAAGATTTAAAAAGTAAAGAATATTTTTAGTTATTTTATGTACGTTTCTTTACAAAGCTATATTTAATTATAATTTTATTTAAAATTATATTCATACAATTGAAGAATATTTTGTACCAGGTATGTATATCTACCACATATTTTATTTCACCAAGTAAGTTTTCATAATTTTATTTTTAATTTTAGCCCTTATATCATGGCTATCGATTCATAATGTAATTGTAATATTAAAAATACATTTAGAGAAGTCTACGGTTTTTACCGGCTTATCGAACAAACGAATACGAAGGGACTCTAGAGGACTAGACCATCACTGATGCGCCTGGAAGTCGGCTTCTTACATAAGCAGATTCCCTATCGTCAAATAACGGCATGCCTCTGCTTTCTATGTAATTATGATCTAGTTATCACAAATTATTTTATTGTAACAGTTTATGTATACTGAAATTTCTACCTTTTAAATATATTTTTCAGTATTTTATGTATAATGTTCTACATCTCAAACCCATCAAATCCGAACACGTAATTTGTACATGATTCGTATAAAAAAGTAATAATAAACAAAATTACTTACTGCCTATATTAAGTCTTGTCGCAATATTATCCCACTCCTTATCAACGAGGTCTCTATTGTGGTACTCCTTAATCATATTTTGAAATCATTTAATTCAAAATATCTCAAGCTAGTAGTGGCTTGCCCCTGTACATCACACTTTTCCGTTAACTGACGTTTTGAATTGAAAAAAACGAGACTTTCGGTTTGAATCGGAAGATCATATATAGTTAATTGGGGTCTCCTGTCTCGGATTTCATATAATTCCGTTCTAGAGGTTAAGACAATGACAAAATTCGGAAATAAATGTAGCATTCCT